AGGCCCGTGCATTTTTCGGTATCGAAAATTTTACACGAAATTTGAAGTTTGTAGTATAATATTACYCTAATTGTAAAGCGCAGTTTTTGATAATAATTTAAAAATTAATTTTGCTGCGTACTGTGTATTGTTTTTAACGTCTTTAGCTGTAATGTATATTATTAGCAAAAATCCTTTAGTTTTGCCTACGGCTCCTCAATATATTTGGGTATTTTTTTTACCGTTTTTTAGCGTTTGTTTTTAAAATTTTACATAACGCTTTCATATTTAGCATCCACAATATGCAATTTGCTGATTATTGCGTAATAAAAATATATTTCAAACACTTGTATCCTCAATTATTAAACCCCTGCGCCTTCCACATGCACTTACAACTTTGTTTTTTTTAAATATTTGTACTTGTCATTTCCAACTCACTTGGATTTGAAATAGCGAAAACTAAAATCCACAGCTGAATGGAAAATTTATTTAATTTAAAAAAGGAATATTACCACGGAGAAACGTTCGTTGCACGCCAAACCACTAACCGAAATGCTGTGAGTGGATTATTTATTTTGTCTTGCAGGCGAAATACTTTTCCCATACAAAGAACTCTTCGCATTTACATTATATTATTGCATTTTCTACACATGTAAAGTGCAACGGCGCCGAGAGCATAATTTCTGGGTGTATTGTATGAAAAGCGATTCGAGAAAAATGCAAACGTTTCGGGTTTTCAAATATTTGCTCGTGCCGCAATCGCTCGGAAATGCAGCGCACAAATACTTATTCAATTGTATTTGTAAATACTTATTCAATTTGTATGGTAAAAATTGCTAGATTAGAACTTTTGCGGTTTTTACGAACAACAGCATGAACTGTTTAGGAAGGATGGCGTTGGCCTTGTGACACGTTTTTAAGAAACAAGAAAAAGGTCAGCGCGTGTGCACAAAATGTTATGACCTCAATAAGAGAAATTCAGGGAAAACTTCGTTTAATTCAAATAAATTTCGTGCATTCTTTGTGTGATAAAAATAACAAAAAGTTGTATTTAATTTAAACAGCGCCAGTGAACTACAATATTTTTAATATTTATTTTAATCGTACAAGTTGCTCAATTACTTGTTTTTAAGTATATGCCAAGATTCATATATGTTTGTATGTGCAATTCATAAAATTAACATTAATTATAATAATAAATATTATTCTTAGAAGACTCGCAGTTGCTTAGAAGTCTTGTACGCAATGTATCATGGTAAAAGAGAATTTCGAATATCTAATGCTTGCATTTTCTGTACAAAGTTTTATTGATCTTGGCTTAGTTATTGGCTGCTGCGACTGTTCACTATTGGTCTAGACGATTTGTAACATAGTTGGCTTCTCACCGTCGGTCAATCTTCCATTTGTTCGTTCAATTGTGCTAATAATGCGGCGCGTTTCGACTCCAGTTCGGTTTCGCTTAGCGCTTGTTCCTCTGCATTACGCGAACTAGTACCTGAATTTTCAACATCGGACTGATTGCTACCATTTGCGCTTATCGGTGTAATAGAGCGGTGATGTTTCTTTTCCTTCTTACTCTTTTTGTCGCGTTTTTTCTTTCTGCTAACTGTAATATCATCCAATTGTGAAGTGGTTGGCGAAGCAATTGGTGAGGAGATGACGCGTTCAGATTCGCAGGAAGACTGTAAGGAAATATTAACAACACTCAAACATTTTGTATGGTATATTGTAGACTACATACAGCTCGTGAAGTCTTTTTGCTCTTTCGCTTCTTCTTTTTCTTCGATATGCGTTCACTTTCCATGCTGAGGCTAGAACTAATCGAATGCTGTAAAAAAAATTAAACGCAAATTGAATGTAAATGAATTCTAGATTTTGATTATGCATATTTACCGAACGCGAATGGGACTTTCGTTTTTTTGATTTTGCCGACTCAAATTCATCKTGATCATTTTCAATGTCCTGTAATTAATTACAGGAATTTGTAAAATTTATTATTGTCTTGAAACTTGTTGGTGCACTTGTGTTACTTACCGACTTAGAACTGGAGCGCACTCTCTTCTTGTGTTTTTTGTTCTTCTTCGACTTTCGCGAACGGGAATGATGATGACTGCAGGCGTCTTCGCTTTCTTTAATATAGTCCTCCCAGATCTTTTTCACACCGACTTCCTTTTCATAAACAGTAAATGCCTCTAAATGTTCCACCAACTTCTTCGCAGCTTCGTACGGTTCCTGTACAGAAATATTTGCCTCTTGCCATTCCGCTTTGATTTCGTTTTCCAATTTTCGCAAACGGCGAGTTTCTTCTTTCAGACGCTCTTTTTCGACGGCTTCGGCCTATTTTTTTTTATTCAGGAATATAAAATTATTACCTTTAGATAAGAGATTTTTATTGTGCAAAGTTTAGATACCTTTTCAAGCAGCGCATTATATGTCAATTTGACATTGCCCGCGTCTAAATTTGCAGAGCGTTTGTCTTCACACACAACAGTAGCAAATTCCTCGAAGGAAGTATTTGCTTGCACCACGTACTGCTTTTCTTTGAGTATCTCGCGTATGATTTTCTTTTCATCGTGGTAGCGCGCCTTTAGGTCTTCCACATAGAATTTAAATAAATCCAAGGGCGTAGAACCCGGCTGACCGAGCATAGCTGAAAAACGCAAATCTGCCGATATTATTGGATAAAGTTCTACCCAAAGCGACATTGACGTAAGTTTTCCAGCTTCATGTTGTGCATCTAATAAGGATAAGAATGAATCGCGGTTTTTGCGCTGTTGACGTTTGAGACGCTTCTTTTCGCGTTCACGTTCTTCCTCTTCTTCTTTTTCTAATGATCGAATATGATCTTCGAAAACTATGAGCGCATCCTCTTTGTCCATTCCAAGTAAGTTAACGTCATTCTTAAAGGCGGCATTTTGAAGCAGCATTAGTTGCGCCTGCGCCCATGTAGTTTCGTAAGTGATTGTGGTCATCGACTCGAGTAACTCGCCCAATACTTTCATATTTCGTTTCTTTAGTAYACGCGTTTCCTCCCTTTCCCTCTTAGCCAAGTTGAAAATACAATCATCATAAATATCACGGCGATCCTGTTCCGGCACACTGGTCCATATTTTATTGGACGCAAATAACTCTTCGCATTTATAATATTTCATTTGCGAGTTCATTTTATCAGTTGACATAAGGAAACGTTCGAGGTCCTCCTTGGCTTTTTTAGCGCGTAAACGCGACTCTTCTCGTTCATCTTTCAGCTTTTGTGTTTTATATGCGTTAAATGTTTGCTTCTTTTCGTTCAAATTTTTAAACGAACTATAACGTGGATCTTTGGAAATTATTTTGACGCACTGATCCCAGTTTGCATTTGATGGTACATTTTTTTCCCGCAGTAAATCTTTGAAAGCTTCAATTGCTTCCTTTTTATCTTTGAATACTATTTTGGGTTCTTCCGTAGGTGATTCTTTTTTATCTGTAAAAATCATTCAATAATTATTATCGTAAACAAATTTGAATGTTATTATTCGATTACTGTTTTCCTTCTCTTCCTTCCCAGTTTGTGGCATTTCAATTGAAGCTAATGTAGCAGCCATGGCTTGATCAAGAGCGGATGAAGAATTTTCATTACTGCCTGGGGTCATAGGTGAACGTATATCAGGTGTAGCTATATTTACCACGGTGGGTAGAGTGGCCGGAAGTATACTGGCTAGCGCAGCCGGTGGCACCATTCCCGCCAAACTGGAAGATGTCATCGCAGCAACGGCTTTGGCAGCAGCAGCAGCTCTATATACATATATTATAAAGTAGTGCACTTAGTTTTTTGTTGCGAAAGTTAGAAAATAAAAAATCTTACTCTTCTGCTTTTACTTTAGCTTGCATTTCTACGAATTCTGGTGGTGGCTCCCAACGTGATTCTTTTGTGTTAACATTGTGATAATACACTTTACCAGCATCAGAACGGTACTCTTTCCAAGGGCATTGGTGAGTCAAACGTTCGGCTGGTGTCATCAGTGCTTCAGGCTTCTCCCATGAGCTTTGCTTAGTATTGTTATTGTAGTAATATGGTCGCCCATCAGGAGCCTTGTGCTCTGTCCATTCAGTGTTAGGCGGTATACCACCGAATGCTGCCGCCAGCTCTGGTGGAGGTGGCCCTCCAAAACCTGGTGGCGGTATGTTAAACATTGGCGGCATGCCCATTGGTGGCGGAACTGCACCACCCGCCGCTCCCGKAGGTACATTCATATTTCTGCTTTGTGCAAGACAAAATTTTTAAATACACTTTACAAATAAAACSACAAATTTCCAGTCGCAAACTTGTCAACGTATGCCAAACCATAAACTGCTCTCAACACCAAAACTGTTCTAACCTCAAACAGCGCCGTTGTACTGAATCCAGTCTGACTGATAGAATTATAATAATATGCTATTTTAACACTGAAATTATATAGCCACTTAATATTGTTCAATTTGCAAGTACTTGCTTTTAATTTCGTGAATGTTTACATTATCTAAATTACCATGCAAAACTTGCTTAATATTACAATCCCCGGCTCGAGAAAATGCTCAATTGACATTTGAAAGCGTCGAGCAGAGTTGCACTTTACGCACTTACCTGCACAGTGATTACGATTTGTAAAAACTTATCTGAGCGCAGTTTGAGCAAGGACAGACATGTTATCACTGCATAAAATTAGCCGTTCTTACCATAAATAAAATTGTTATAGGATTTTATATTTAAGAGAAATTATTTCGAATTTAAGTGAAATTAATTTTTTTTTTTTTCATTGACTTATCTGTTTTGGATTTTGTTCACCTGATGTACATCAAGTGGTATTAATTTTCGTTGTATCATCGAATACTTATATATTCTCGCAAAGTAATTAGTACTTTTATTAGTTTTTAATAGTTCGTATACTTATTCCAGACAACATTACAAATGATAAGAATAAAAAAAAAAGCATGTGTAAAATTTATAGTGCTTTTTCAAGTATAGAAAACTGACACCCTGGTAATTTCAAGGTTGTCAAAAGTACAATAAAACAAATATTACAGCGATAAGAAAACTTGTATATTTTTTGCTAAGTGATTGTGTTTAAACTTGTGGGAAGTCGTAATATTATCCTTATTAAACGAAGATGTGGACTTCCTGAAACAGCCTGGTTCTTAATTCGGTTTGGTGGAAGATGAGCAACTAAACATCGCTTAAATAAAATATGACATAGGAATTAAACATTCTCTATTATCTTTGAATCTCAAAACTTCAATGTATTTCTGAAGTAAACAAAATGAAACAARTTATAGCCAAGCCCAGATTGAAATGGATACTCCTCTTCCTACTATCGCTTTTTGTAATAAGCTGGTGTCTACTTTATGGCTCAGACATAAATCAAACAGACATACGCTACTGTTTCATGAATAGCTTCAGCGCTTCTCCATCAGTTTCATATGCACAACAAAAATATGCACAAAATAAGTTCGGTGCTGGTCCGCATCTCCTGGACGATATAATGCTTTCGGAACCGAAACCAAATGCGAGCGGGCGTAGTATTATCTTTCACGAAACCAGTTGTCCAAATGAAAAACTGCGTAGTCGAATGCAATACTTAGGCAGCGCACCAATTAATATGATGGATCTTACCGCACGGGAAGCATGTGCCATTGAATCGGCTGCATTACACAATCCTGGTTTCAGTGTTTTCGTACTTTTTGCCAGTCCCGCTTACCGTGATTACAATAATACTTCGCCAGTGATAGAAGCGATACTCAGCTACCCAAATGTACATTTACGCAACCTAAATATATGGACATATGCAGCTGGAACACCCATGTACCAGTGGTTAAAAGACGGCAAACTTTTTCGATCCAGGTAATAACAAAACAATAGCGACTAAATGATATCTAGTGGATTTAACATTTAAAAATTTCAGTTATGTGCTATCACACCTTTCCGACTTTTTACGCTATTTAACATTGTGGCGATGGGGTGGCACTTATCTTGATATGGATGTCGTAGTGCTGCGTAGCTTAGAAAAATTGCCACCAAATTATACAGGAGCGGAATCAACAACATACCTTGCAGCAGGGGTAATGAACTTCGCTCCCGATGGATTTGGTCATGAAATTGCTGAAAAGTGCTTACGAGATTTCCTGTTAAATTTCGATGGCAGCGATTGGGGTAACAACGGGCCAGGCGTCATAACGCGTGTCATGAATGATGTCTGTAAGACAGCCAACATTGAATTAATGATGAATGCTAAACGGTGTATGGGATTTCACATAATGCCAAGGGAAGCATTTTATGCGGTACCTTGGAAAAAGTGGGAATATTTCTTTGAAGCGCAGTACCTGACTGAGACCCTGAATTTGCTACGTGATTCATACATTGCGCATGTATGGAACAAACACTCCAAGCAAAGGCATGTGAAAGTGGGTGCAAACGTAGCTTATGGTATTCTCGCCGAAAAACATTGCCCGAAAGTTTATGCAGCAGCAGGCGAGTATTTTTAAAACACAAGGACATTTAATGTTAAAAAAGGTTAAGGTAAAAAGGAAAAGTATTTTTAGCATTTCGTTCAAACGAAAGTAAGTAATAGTTTTTAGTTTGCTGCGTATCTATGTATCTGTGAAAGTTTAACTCCGAAGCAGCCTTTTAACATTAGTTGGATACCCATGGCTAGCGGATTTAATTGAATCGAACCGAAATTTATAATTATGCCCGAAAGTTGTTTTGTTAATTATTTTATATTGTTTTATGTTATATTGTATGCATATGTATGTATGTCCGACTAAGGCAGCATTTGTAGAATCTCTTGTGTATTTTTTTTATTAGATTTTTAGCATTAACGAATAATATTTTTTTTTACAAAATTTTTTTTTTATAAATCTTACTCAAATAACACACTTTTTCTCCTTAAATAAACGTGTGCGTCATCCCTACTAATCGCATGCATGCAATTCGGTTGAATAATAACCCTTTTCTGTATKTATGTATRTTCTCATTAGCTTAAATATATTCCACACACCAAGCACATTCACATTTGTAAATAAATATACTCGATATGTATTATTTAACGAATCTCAATAACAAAAAGCAATACTGTCTCTAAATAGCAAGTAGTAGAAACCAAAGTTTGTACATAAATATTAAAGTTCAAATATGGATCAATTTGTAGTAGAAATCTTGTATGTATGTATTTTAGAGCATTGTAGATGATATTATTGAAGTCGAAATGATCATTGAGTTCTTATATAGGCGCAATTAGTTTTTTCTTAACAATATGATAAATTTTTTATATTTTTTTTAGCAAAAAGCTTAGTACAAGCTAACCGCGAACACAGTAAAATAATGCTCATACTTGTATGGTGAATATAGATAAATAATATCCTACCTATTCCTGCCACGAGAAAAAATTCTACATTATTTTTTATACACATGTTGTTTTCAAAAGCGATCAAAATATCGTTGCAGAAATCCGAATTGCAATAGTTAATAGTAAGACAAATATAATATTGGCATACACGTTGAAATAGCTTATGCATGTGATGCAGCGTGCACTTACGACATCACATTAACTACACACATATGTATGCCAATTGGCGTGGAAACTCCTAATCAAAGTTATACAATGAAATCAAATGTGTATTATATAGAATTGTTATGTATAAGATGAACAGTGTTATATGAGAAATATATGCACCCGTACACAAATGAGTCAACTTGTTTTAATAAAATACAAAATATACTATACATAAAATACAGTTACTTTATTGTTTAAAAATGCTATTTACATATACTCGTTCCCTCAATTTCAACATTAATGTGTTCACTCTCACGCATAAATCAATGGTCTTCTTTGTTGATTAACGAATTCGCGTTCAACCTGCGAGTTTTTTGGTACAACATAAAATAGCAGCGAGCCGCCAGTGACAAAGAAGCTGCATTTCAAAAATAATAATATATATATTTAATGCAACGATTAGTGTATTGGACCAACATACCCCTTTTCGTTTAAGATCTCCTTTATAGKTTTATTTAAATCCACTTTATGCACGCAGCCCACTTTACGGTTCTCGTAGTATATGTTTAAATTGCCAGATCGATAGCTATGCGATTTGTCACATGGCAACGGCTCTTTAAACATGTCGTTGATGCAATCTTCCATGCTGTAAAAAGAAAAAAAAATTGTAAAATAATTTATAACTAAAGAGTTTGCATTAATACGCATGCGCTTACACCACATCCTCCGACAACTGTTGCTGAAAATCGCTAAATAAAAATTCTGGATATGAAAAGGCTGTTGGCCATACAAGCGTCTCATTGTCGCTATCCAAATGAACTGGGTGATCTTCTAATGGCAGAAATTTCGGCCGTAACAATTCCTCCGTTATGGGTTTGTTATKTTTTAGATCGTCGAATTTAATGCCGCGTGTCTTAAGTGCTTCAGTTAGCCGTTGAAAGCTCACAATGCGTTTCTTTGCCTCTGCAGCCTCTTTGCGTTGATCTCGTTCAATTTCCAGCTGTAAATGTAGGTAAAACAAAGTTGAATGTTTCTGTTAAACACTTTGTGAACACACAACCTTTTTCGTTTTRTTCCTTTTTAACAATTCGCGTGCGTCGTTATGATTTGCATCTCGTTTCAGTAGCTCTTCACACAATTGGGTACAAAGTTCGAACTTGTCCAAATTAAAGGCACATTGTGCAGCGCGCCAACGTGATTTGGCATATTCTGCGTTATATTCCAATGCTTTTAGCGCATCAATGAGTGCCGAACTATAAGCACAAGAAGTTGTAGTCTGAAGATAGCATATGTTGCAGCGCGTCTTACCGGTAATTTTTTAGAAAGTAATGTGCAGCGGAACGATTATTGTATAGCACAGATTTTATTTCCGGTTTATCACATTTGGCTTTCAAGCCCTCTGAGAAACTATATATGGCAGTACGAAATTTTTTATGCTTCATATAAAAGTTGCCGTCATCCTTATAATTCAGAGCCAGTTCCTCCGCTGTGTTTTCCTCTGGATCGTATTTCAGCTTTTGCAGACCCTCGAACATTGGATGCACGTCGTCGCCAGGTTGSGGTGCTTTTTTCATAAAGAACGGATGCTTGTCCATTTCCTATACACAACACATATTTCATTTGTTTACTTTGCTGTATAGTAATACCTGTCATACAATAAGCGTACATACTTCTTGCCAACGATCCTCTGGCCAACCTTCCTCATAGCGTTTCTTCTCCAAACCATCAATGAATGCATCTAATTCCTCATCCAATTTTGCGGCCAAAGCTAAACGCTCTTCATCTGTCCACGTTTTCTGCAAATCCAATTTCTCATCAGCCATATTTTTGTAGTTTTAAAAAAAGACACTTGCTCGACCTAAAATATTTTATAAACAAAACTACATAATACACATGTTTATTTCCAGCTGTGTTAAATAAGCGCAGCTAAGACGCAGGGTTGCAATGCTCAATATGAGCAGTCTGTGCTTGCGCTTAAGTTTTAACGGACTTTTTTGTATATATTTTTAAATTTTTTTAGCTATACGGTATGTGTGTATTTGTAATTAAAAAATATGGATTGAAATGTATAAATAGACATTGTTGTTGTAAATTTATTTTATACAAATTCTGTTTTTATTTCAACTGATTTGTGGTGAAATTGAATTACTACTTTTCCCAACAACTTTTCAAATTGCTAACGTTCGTATGTAAATGCAGGCATATACGCACACATAAGCCGTCACATATGTAGGCTTAGTTGCACTGCTATTAAGCTGTTATAGGGTGTGTCGCGGAAATTTGCTCTTGTTATCGCTTTGTCTAAACATTGTTAATGGATAACTAACAAGTTAACCACGGTGTTAACGCTTTTCTCGTTTCCTGACTTTAACACATTTTTAATGGTAAGAAATTGCAAAACTTGTGTGCGGCATCAGAGGCCTTTGTAGCATATWTTTGGTATATAGAAATGTGGTTGTGTTTAAATAATTTTTTTTTTATTTTATTTTTTTTTTATTTAAACATTTTTTTAATAACATTTCAATGAGCAAAGCACCTTCAAGTATAGTGCAAATTTGCTGATGAACGCAGCGCACTTTTCGCAGCTTTAMATACATACATACRTACAAKGTATGCACATTTATTAAGTTAGACAAATACGTTTGAAACCGAAAGTGGTTTGTGCTTTCGCTGCACACGCAGGGCAAATGGCTTATATGATATACATATGTTATTACATATGTTTGTGTGTATGTATGTTTTTGTATATGAGTTAATCCTTTTATTCCATATACTATAGATTGAAGTTTGATTMGAAATACGAAACGACTTTTTCGACTACCCAATATGTGTAATATTTATATTTTACCTTTAAGACAAATAATAGAATGTATTGTTGAAAAGTCGTTATGAAACTGTGTTTTCCTCTGGATCGTGAAGTTTTAAATTCTCTGGTCTAAATGGTAACTGTAAAATTTTTGGTATGAAGAAAGAGACTTTGACATCAGTYCCATTTCCGGTGTTCAAAGTCATTCAAACATTTTTGYAATTATACCCCATTTAMATACATAYATACACACATACTTATTGTGCATTAACATACGAAAGTATGCGTGCGCATTCGCTTGCATTTATAACTATTGGGCGACACCCAAAAGGTATCTAAATATTTATCTAAAGCAGTTTACTGTAAATTATCATATTTGTAGTTGCATTCATAAGTTTACAGTGTGCATACGGATATCGATACCTCGAATGTTTGCAAATATTGATCACAATCCGGTACTCATTATAAGACTGTATGGGCACGAGTATGCCGCCTTTTAGAAGGGATTAATAAAACAATAAAACCAAAACAATTGTAAAAGCATTAAATCTCTATAATACAATATTTGCCAATTTGTTATGAGTGTAATTAACAAATACAACAACAATTACAAACATACACTCTTATATGTATGTATGTATGTATGTATGTGGTTGGCTTCAACGGCATTCACACAACATTGGCGGGCGCTGAAACTGATAAAGTCGCAGATTGCTGGCTGCCAGTTGCGATTTACATGGCGAAGGGCGCGTATTCCAGCGAGCCATTTGAATTTGACGCGACAAAGTGTGTTTAAAAAGAAGGCATATATTTTATTTGATAWAGATTTTTTAGTGCTAAAGACTGTGTTCTAAGGTTACGTCCCTATCAAGCGAAATACATACTTTCAATTTGTGACGGCATTGCTTGTGCATTATTATTGACTGTGTGAAGGTGCCAGCTGTGCGGACCAACTAATAATAAAGCAAGCGTGATAGTTCTTTTTTTATGGAAAAAAATTTATTTGATGAAAATTACATGAGGTGTGGTATAAGTCAAWAGTAAAAAAGTAAGACAGCGTAAAATGATAATAACAGTGCTACATACGTACACTACTCAAAAAAAAGCGTTGACTCCAAAATTCTTTCATAATTGGTGGACCCATTTATGCCGCATGGAATTTTTTGAAATAAAAAAGTTTTTCAAAGTATTAATGTATCTATAATTAAAAGTCTCTAAATTTTGTAACAAAACTAAAAAAAAACAATATTAAAAAAATACAGGGTGTCTCAAATTAAACGCCTCATTGAATTTTGGGGGAAAAAAATGCTTTCCAAAGCGTTGGTTTATAATACAAAATATATTTGAAAAAAAATTTGATATTAAAATATACAGGGTGTTCCAAAACTAACGCAAGATTTTCAATTGTTGGAAAAAAAAGTTTTTCAATTTTGTGTGAATAAAAAAAAAAAAATACAGGGTTTCCCAAAATTAACGCAAGACTTAAACTTATCGCGATTTCATCTTCAACTTAAATCTTATGCTAATTGTGGCACCCTTTACTTCCACAGCAACCACAGCATTTTGCTTAAACAACAATAAAAGAAACACCACGAACGAAAAAAGTACCCTAAAACTAGCTGTACCAGTAATTACTTTGGACCCCGTAAAGTACCCTATTTATCGAAAAGAAATTAGGCCAAAGCGCAAGATTAAAATATGTATGAATGCGTTTGAAGTCTGCACCTGCTCAACTTGTAAGGTTCCCTACACTAACAACRCTTTCTTATCTAAACCAAACGTTGCGATAACAGTGCTTTATGGGCTCCAATTTTTTTTTTTGTATGTAGAAGACTTTGCGATAGCATGTTTTTAACTTTTCTCTTGAGTCATTTCAAGCAGAGCGTAAGCGTGTGTAGCACTCTTCAAATACGTCCACTTTCTGCGCATATTTTCCACTAATATTTCGTAYATTTTCAACTAGCCGGTAAATGCCAGCTTTTGCACTCATTTTCCACCCCCGCGTGAAAGGAGTGAACTAATCGCTCAACGCTTTGGAGCGKCTTCGCTGCGAGAGTGCGTTTAGTCATACAGAAATTGCGCCACTTTCAGAGCCAAGTAGCCGTACGCCTGATTATTATCAGCAGCGTGCACATGGTGTGTTGTCATTTCTGGGAGGGGCGCAGTAAGATACATTTTTATGTATTAATATAAATGTGGTTGAGAGTGTGTATGGATTTCTATGAAACAGTATGCGTCATATTTACCCGCCAAGCCAATTACATGCCTAGTGTATAGCTAAAACTATGTACATTAGGGTGGGGGCGTATGCGGAAAATATTCTACCGATCATTTGGAACGACTTTGTATGAGGGACTATGGGTSTAAAACTGGTTTCSAGTCAGMAATTTTTAAGGTGAAGTTAAAAAAAAATCGGTTTAATCGGTTCTACAGGGTTTGYCCGGGAAGTAATMSGACTGATTTTCTTCCTGTATTCAGTAGAGGGCGTTCYTAGCTAAMGAACGAGCGGCTGATCAGTTGTCGCCGAGTACCTGAAGAGTCAGGACAAACATTTTTGCGAGACGTCTTTCTGTGAGTGGTGCAAACCGAATATKCAGCGTTCGTTAGAGCAGAGGTASGCTATTAAATTCAGTGTGAAACTCGGTAATGCAGGTTTACCCAGATGTTGCTTTAAAAAGAAGTGGTGTGTTTCGGTGGTWCCCTGCCTTTTTGGGGGGGCCGGAAAACCCAAAAAAATACGCCCTAAAACTTCTTRTTTCCAACATCGTCTTAGACCCATAATCTCTAAAGCAAAGTTGTTTCAAATGTTTTGTAGAAAATTTCTCCAAAACGCGATTTATCCATTTTTTTTGGCTCCTTGTAAATCAACCCGCTCTAATGTGCATATTTTTAATTTTGGATATGCTTTAAGTTTATCATTTTATGACCTGTTGATTTTAACATTATCCATTTCGCGCATAAAAATTTTTGATGCACGACTTRAAGGCCCATAAAGGTGATATCACACGAACCCATCATGGCGTGTGTCCAGGAATAGAATGTAGTTTAGTGGCTAGTGAGTAGACGCATAAATATTATTTTTATTTTTATTATTTTTACGCATTCCTAACTGTAATCAACTTTTCCATGCGCGCATAGGAGTGTGTAGAACAAACGTGGCAAAATAGATCATGAGTTTATCGCAATTACTATTTTTATTTTTTTTTATATTATTATGTATTTTTAATTATCATAATCAGCTAATCGAACATTACAATTCAATTGAGTCTTTTAAATGGAAAATTGATATGTCGACTGAAAGGCTGGTGGACTTTGAGCCAATGTACGTTTGATAAGTGTATGGAAATAGTTGGTTAGGTGGATATTATGAATGAATTATGAATGACCTTACTGAAGTAACTAACGCGTAAACAATTTTTTATAATTTAACTTTTAATTTTTAACTGCCAGTTTTATAATTCTGGACTCTATAAATTCCTTAGATCGCTAACGAAACAATTTTCCAGTTGCGAAGCCCTTTCCTTCTAATTTTTTAAATAAAAAAAAAAAATGATGATAAAAAAATAAAGGYAGCATTTAATGACACACACGTTGGCTTGGCTTCTGACCTGAAATATATAATATATATTCAATATATATATAAGTATTTACATACAACAACTACTGTGCGATATATTGTGGTGCGAAACTGGGCCACACAGCTGTGCAAAAAAATTAAACAAGAGTAGAATTTCAATTTACATTAGGAACTATTTAGCCATCCGCCTTTGCTCTCACGCATTTCAAAGCAGACGACGCTCTACTTGAGCGTTTTTAGGCTTTYAGGCGTACTCACTGAGTGCCGGCAATGCTTGGAATCACTCATTTTGCATTATATGACAGGAAAATGCCTCCCTTTGACGCTTTGCCCACGAAAGCGCTGCACACCCCTGAAATCGCTACTCACTACTAGAGTTTAGTTAGTTGAACGGCAGGCGACAACGTGTGTGCTTAACAGTATAACTGAATGGCTGGCGAACTTAGGGAAAAAATACCTACGAAAACATAGTGCATAAGTTGAATGAAAATTGCAGAGAAATAAGCGTTTACTAAAGTAAATACAAAACAAATAATTTATTAATAAATAATACAACTGAAAGCAGGAAAAAAACACGTGAAATCCGCAGGCTGAACGATTGTTTGGCGACAGATTGAAAAAAATCGATTTTTGTGCGTGAACAAGGCACGGACAAAGTGCGCGCAAGGCGGCGGAGCTATTTAAAAATACATACTTCACACACACACACACACACACGCACACTAGGAGAGAGACGCACGTCGTCAACACAAGTCAATTGCATTTTGTTGGTAAAATTTTCAAAAACTAAACCCAAAACTGATTTATTATTAAGCATGGCGCAAGCAAATATACACTTCACCCCGCTGCCTCAAGCCCCCAGCTGCGGGCGGCACAGTGCCGGCGAATGCAGAAGCAACAACTGCAGCGGCAAACTCGRCGACGCCAAAGAGCCGGTCGCTACGCCCGCCACTGTGCTGCTGGATAAGCGCTTCTCGCGGCAAGTGCAGGGTGTGTATCCGCTGCAACGGTGAGTACTCAAGAAAGTTTAATGAAAATTTGCATTTAAAACACAAATCTGTATCGTTTCCGTGCGACTGCAGTCAGGACGTGCTGAAGTGGTACGGCTGGGGCTACAAAGACTCACAGTTCTATGTGGACAATGGCATCATCGGCTTCAAGGGTGACAAGTATGTAATGAAGCTCGTCTTCTTGTTTGTTTACGCGCTTGTGTAGACACGTTTGYTTCTGTTGTTGGCTCTATTTAGGCTACATAATGACTTTATTGTTTGTATGCATGTAAGCGTGTGYGTTGTTTATGCTGAAACTAGTATTAGCCAGAGTTTGGTGGCTACAATTGTCAGCAAAGTCASTTTGGCGGCGATATTGGTTATTTCCTGTGACTTCGCTAATTTAGCGCGTGTAAATGAATCATTGAACCGGCGTAGAAGCAGCTGAGTCGTACTCTAATTCTGCACGCTGACAACAAAGTACTCACATACATGCAAACAAACAAGAAAACTTTCATATCAGTATATTGAAAACTGTAGCACTTCGTCTTTTGCACAGGTATCCACTTGAAGGCTGCATGTTGCCCTACTTCACCGAATGGGTTTACAGCAAATTCAATTTGCGTATCGAGAAGAATTTACCCTCTCCGAAAATGCCTACCGAGTTTCCGGCACCCACCGTGAATGCGCCCTTCGTGCGCGAACTCGAAGCAACTAAGTTGACAAGCTCGCAGTSTGGCGAGGACCGCCTCATACGCTGTCACGGCCAGACGCTGCACGATATCTACTATCTTTGGCGCAATGAATTCAAGCGTATTCCCGATATAGTCGTCTGGCCACAAAGTCACGAGGATGTGGTGCGGCTTGTGGCGCTCGCAAATAGGCATAATGTTGTGGTTATACCGTATGGCGGYGGCACCTCAGTGTCTGGCTCAATTACTTGTCCGCAAGCGGAGCAACGCATGATCTGCGTGYTGGATACGTCACAGATGAATCGTATGCTGTGGCTGAATAAAGCCAATTTGACTGTGTGCTTTGAGGCGGGCATTGTGGGACAGGACTTGGAGCGCGAATTGCAAAGACTCGGTTTGACGGTAGGTCATGAACCGGACAGTTATGAGTTCTCCACACTTGGTGGTTGGGTGGCAACACGCGCCTCTGGCATGAAGAAGAACGTCTACGGCAATATTGAGGATTTGGTGGTGCGTGTGCGTATGGTGACTGCGTCTGGAGAGGTGCTGGAGCGTGAGTGCATGGCGCCGCGTGTATCGTGCGGTCCGGATTTCAATCATGTGATAATGGGCTCCGAAGGCACACTCGGCGTTGTGACTGAGGTGGTATTGAAAGTGCGTCCACTGCCCGCCGTGAAACGTTATGGYTCGCTGGTTTTTCCCGATTTCGAGAGTGGCGTACAATTTATGCGGGAAGTTGCGCGTCGCCGCTGCCAACCGGCGTCAGTACGGTTAGTGGATAACGAACAATTCGTTATGGGACAAACACTGAAGCCASTGCGAGGCTGGTTGGCTGGTTTGCTGGATTCCTTGAAGAAAACCTACATCACGGCTTGGAAGGGTTTGGATTTAACGAAAATGTGTGCAGCAACTTTGCTATTTGAGGGCAATGAGGAAGATGTGCGACGCGAGGAGGCGCTCATTTATCAGATTGCAAAGCAGTTCAAAGGATTTCCGGCAGGTGGTGATAATGGCGAACGTGGCTACATACTAACATTCGTCATAGCGTACATAAGGGTGAGTGYGAGAAACAAAAGACATTCAATGATATTTGTAATAATATTTATTTCTGCTTCGCTGYAGGATTTCGCATTGAATCAAGAGATCGTAGCAGAGTCCTTTGAGACATCTGTGCCATGGGACCGCTGCAGCTCGTTGTGTCGGAATGTGAAGCGTCGCGTGGAAGCGGTGAGTGGTTTGCCATCGTTTCTTCGTTTTGTGTACACAATACACAACGTGACACTTTCTGTTTTGCCTCCACTTTCAAAATGTTGATTCAATTACCGAAAGCCGTTAACAATCTCTGTATTTCAGGAATGTCACAAGCGTAGCATTAAGAACTTCATCATTTCCTGTCGCGTAACGCAGACCTACGATGCCGGCGCTTGCGTTTACTTCTACTTCGGCTTTAGGCACACCGGCATTGTCGATCCTGTCGCCACATTCGAGCAGATTGAGACGGGTGCGCGCGACGAGATACTCGCCTCGGGTGGCTCGCTGTCGCATCATCATGGCGTTGGTAAAATACGCAGCCAATGGTACGAGAATACCGTTTCAAAACCCGGCAGTGCACTGTACCTGGCGGCGAAAAGACAACTTGACCCGAAAAATATTTTCGCCGCAGGGAATTTGCTGACCGAGGAGCAGTGGTTGGCGGCGAGCAAAAAGAGTGTCGTAGAAGTGCCGCCGYATCAAACCACCGTTGAGTCGAGTTCATTAGTTAAGGCGAAACTATAAAGTTCGAGTATCAACCGAAATGAAACCACAGATWAGAGACATTAGTTTTAGGTTGGCTTTAGTGAAATGTAGTGGAATTAACTCAAAAAGTTTGTCAATTTTTTACTTTTGTATTATCGCTAGTTTAACATGAGTGTTGTTGTACATAAACTTAATTTGCTTACTTAATTATTTAATGTTGTGTTTAAGGAMTTCMATTCTGTCTTACTGTATGGAATATACTGTTATAATGGGTGATTTTCTAGTTCAAACGTATGGTTCATATTTATTACACTAGTTTACACTAACTAATTTTTATTATTCCTCCTTACTGGCATATGGATATACCGAGATTCCATAAGCACGATTAGAAAAGGTGTTTGAAGTTTTCTAGTACAGAAAAAATAAAATAAGATCCACTATAAATATAAACTCGTCTTTTTATGGCTTAGAAATGTAATATTCATATACATCTATAGAGAAAATTTAAGAAAAAGGAAAGACAGTTGCCACTTCCCAGAGCCTTCGCCGGTTGGATATAATAGCAACATTACATATATAGCAGATCAAATGAAAAGTCCCCAGCTTGATTTTTAGTTAGCTATACCTTCAAAAGGTCCTTGTATAGATTAGACAGCTGTCAGAAACTCAGCTTTWTGRYGARACTGCTTCATGAAAGTTAACTATGAAGGAGGTTAAGTTTAGACCTGGTGAAATGAGACAGTAGCAGTGGACGCCCAAAAGAGATTGTTACTGACGAAAACATCAAAAAYCGTAAAGTGAGGTTGTTTGAGATCGCAGGCAATCTAAAAATGTCAACTGAATGTGACATCTTTCTTGTATTTGAAAGTTCCGTGCAAAGAGGGTGTCTGCGAACTCACTTTTGAACAAGAACAATGACGAGTTGATGATTCGAAGCAGAATTTGGAGATCTTCAAGCGTAATAAAGCCGAGATTTTGCATCGATATGTGACAATAGATGCTTCGAAGWTCAATCGACATTCATCCTAGTGGACTGAAGACGTTACAAAGCGTAAAAAAACGCAACAGTCGACGGGCAAGGTTTTGGCCTCTGGATACATATGGAMTAATTTTTATTGGTCATCTTGAAAGTGGACTAAGACTTGTTCCCACATCCTTCGTATTCTATAGATTTGTCCCCCATCGATCTTTTTCTGTTCTCACACCTCAAAATATTGCTCGCTGAGAAGAAATTTTCGTTAACTGAAGAGGTAATTGTCGAAACTGAGGCTTATTTTGAAGTAACGGGCAAATTGTACCTCAACAATGGTATCGAGAAGTTGAAGGGTCGCTATCATCAGTGTACGATCCTTGAAGGGAAATTCAGGGAAGTAAAAAAAAAAAAGTAATAATTTTGCAAAAAAAAAAAAAAGAGTTTTATTGTGGTAGATCGAGGACTCTTCAATTGACCTGCTATCGAAGTAATTTTCCCTTTTCAAATATAGCATTAAAAATTATTTTAAAAATACATTTTATAACCAAGTAAGTTTACCACTGGCTGAAGCCAGACACGTCACGCCAAAAATCTATTGAAAATGCGAGTGAATAACTTCGAAAGCGCTGCGTGACTATATTTTGCAGCTGTAAAATTCTCAAAACAAATATGCAACCGCAAATTGAAGGCGAACGCGCACCGCCCTAACGTCAGGTCGCCAACGCCACCGCAACAACCAAATGTCACATCAAGCARCGTTGATCGGCTGCAGGAATTTATTGCTAAGTACTTTTTATCGCTGAAATATTTACTTTTTTGTATTCCTCGACACGTCGAATGTATGTCTGCTCTGRTTTCTGCAGCAGTGAACCAGTTATTTTAAATTCTTACCTCGAGTGTGGAAACTGCAGCTGCAACATGTCGGACGCACAGTTTATGGCACTTGCGCAGCCGGTTGAAGGCGGCGCTGCATGCGAGGCAGTAACACAGTGAAGAGCTTAAAACAAACACRCACGAATATCGCCAACGACTTCATGCTCCGCGTTCATATGTCAAAATGTCAACTTCGTTAGCGCTTAACAACGCACTCACGCTACGYTTTGGCGCACAATCTGAAATGTCGATGCAGGAACTGTGCGGCTAATGGCGATGACGCGCTGGAGCATGCGCTTCCAATAGATACTGGCACATACACAACTACTTGTGTATATATGTAGGTACAGTGCTGTGAGAGTTGCAGAGGGATACAAACTGGTGACGGGCATTTGGCGGCGCTGCGCCTGATAACAGCTTGAATACGTTGCTCGGCGCTGRAAGCGGYGTTGTTGTGCGTGGCTGCACGCGAGTGTCAATGCGTTGCACATGCAACCTAGAGGTGCATGCGAGTCAGATTGTCGTGTGGATAGGCTAATGAATGAATGTTGTCTTCAATTTAGACGTTGTTGTTGTTGCTGTTGTTCTTGTGACAATGATGATTTATTTAATAAAACGTTGCAAATATGTTGATGTATTGACATTTATGCTAACGGAGTGGTAATGGAAACCGCTACTTTGGAGAATTGCACTCATGTGAGGTGGAAACGAATGAAGTGAGAGATATTTATTAGTCGAAGTGTCAACTTGTTACTGGGTACTGTATAAACTGTAAGATCTGAAATTTTTAAAGTTGTAAACCTTTTAATGCATTTTCTGTTCTAAGTTCTGGAAAATGCTTAGCGTCGCAAGTTGACTTCAGGGGAAGCCCGTTGTCAGCTGGCTTGAGTGGCACTGAAGCCCCCGATTGAAGGTGACCTCACTCTTTTGCCAATCTGGCGTAACTGTTAAGCTTAGATATGCATGTACCCTGAGTACTTGCTTACAAACATGCAACTATTTCTACCGTTCTCTTTCATGGCTCCGCTGTGTGCAACATGTTGCGTTTGTCGCCCATTTCACTAGATTAATGTCTGCACAATTGCTCTTTCACCTGAAGAYAATCGAACAGTTAACTTATGGAGGAAGTGAAATGAAGTGTGACAAAGACCTCGCAGAAGAAGCAACACTAAAATCAATTGCGACGGCGACAAAAAGCCTTCAGCTTCAGTCTTAGCAACGCAGCATTGCCTTGTTAACTTGGCTAACGACTTTGGCGAACAACACTTGCAACAACAACGCATCGACGCAACYAATGGCTACTCAGCGACTGTCTGCTGCCACATTTCATTTGCAAGCCGCAGCTGCCGTGCTACTCCATGGCAATTACAATYGCCACAAAAATGCTCAAATATAAAAAATGTGCGCGAAAATAATGGCTTGTTGCTGCTGATAATAATAATAAAGAAACGATTCGCATGTCGCGGCTGCACGCTTCCTCTT